CTGTCCTCCTGTGATTACTGTAATCTTTTAAACCCAGGAGTTCATCCATCAGGGAAAAGAAAAGTTGGTTGTGTAAGTCCAGAGCACGGCTATCGGCCAGATTTATAACCCAGAGGAGTGTGTTGGGTGGAGGGGGCAGATTCTTTCCCAGATGGCAGGGGAACTCTGGTTTCTAGACATGGAAACCACTCAGGTTTTTCCTGTCAGCCCTGTCCTCAGATCGCAAGATGGACACCAGTGCCATTCCATGCCTGGCCACGGCAGTGTGGGCTCCAGAGAGAAAAGCTGGGAGAAGCAAGAAGCTCACGAGTGACCCTTACCCCAAGGGGCACCCTCCTGGGTGACTGGAGCTGGGAGGGACAGCCAAGGACTGGGGTTGCCAGATAAATTTCAACTTCAGATACATACTGGAGAATTTTTCTTTTAAGCATGCCCCATGCAAAATTTAGCACCCTGTTTTTTATTTGCATGGTTGTTTTTTGTTTTTGTTTTTTGTTTTTTTTTGTTTTTTGCAAAATCTGGCAACCTAGCAGAGAGGGAATGGATGGCCTGAGAAGCAGGAGAGAGAAATGCACAGGAAGTCTTACTCCCCGGGCTCCCCGCTCCCAGGCCCTTCCCAAGTCTCCGTAAGTGAGCTAGGAAGGAGCTCGCTGCAGCGGGGACCAAAGCAGGGTGGGGTGCCCTCTTCACCCAGCCAGCGCACTGGACCTGCCCAACTGCAGTTTCCCAGAGACTGGCTACAAGGGGACAGTGGTGCAGTCCCCTGGCATGTGCCTTTCCCTGGATTTTTGTTTTATCTCCTCCCCGAGAGTGCTGCCGAGGTCCCTGTCCCCTGCAACTGTTCCCACAGGCTGGGCTGCGCTCCTGACCAACTGCACCGTGAACAAGCAAATCCGACTGGTGCCCCATGAGGAAGGCCAGGAACTGTGAATACCCTTGGTGGTCTGCCCCTGGAGCCAGCCCTGGGTGGCACTGGGTTTGGAAGAGACCAGTAGTACATTATCGCTTATTCCTTCTCATTTGGGTGGGTTTTGTTTTTTATAGTGCAACTCTAGAGTCGGGGCCCTCACACTAAATCAAGCCATCTTAAAACCAGACCCTGTTATTAAGTTCATAGGCACACTTCATGAAGGATCTGGAAGTTTTTCCCATTTTTCCATTTTCTTGTAGCCCATAGTCTCAGAGGTTTCCCATCCGGGTCATTATACTTCTACTTCAGGTATTTCTGTTTGTCTTTTTTTTTTAACTAAAGTTAAATTTTTTTAAAAAATGGGACTAGACTGGACAGGACCCAATCCAACTGGAGCTAAAAGGCCCAGAGCAAACATAAAGATGCTATGAGGTACAGGGCTGGAGGTAAAACAGAATAAAGGCAGTTTTCCAAAGCTCCTACCTTCTCACACTAGAGATCTCTTATTCGCCCCTTTTCAGGAGAAATAAACAGAAGGAGACCCCACTTTCCTATTGGATCCTGCTCTCCTATTCCTAACCAGATATGATGCTTTTTTCTTTAAGACGACTTTAAAGAACTTGTGTACATATTTATTATGATGACAAATGTAGACCTAGAAAGAATCTATAGCTACAGGTCTTTCTCCTCACAGTCAGAGAAGACCCAGGACACTGTCCTGAAGGAAATGGTGAGGGTGGGGGAAGGGAGCCACAATACAGGAATGTAACTTTAGCTCTCACCTTGGTCTTGACCCTTAACTTCCCTCAGCTCTTGAGCCCAGGTCCTGAAAGGCTGGCTTGGCTGGTTGAGGCTGCTGACTCAGATACACTAAGAGCTGAAAGCTGTCACACTTCCCAAGATATTTTCAAGGGAGATCATCGGAGGGCATGTGAGGGGGATGAAGAAGGAATTTAGGAGAATAAGTGAATCAATGTTATATATGTAAAGAAGCTTAAATTAGAATTTCATGCTTACTCAAATCTAATAATTCTAGGCCTGCCGTGGATGATAACAGAGGAGCAGGGGAAATGTAGACCCAAAAAGAAAAAAGAATGTTTCAATCCATAGTTAGAAACAGTAACATTACCCTATGAAAATTCTCCCTAAAACCTTCACCACGTAGAAAGGGACACTCAACACACTACACCATTAGATAAAGTAACCCCTTATCCTTTAAAGATTCTAAAGCAGAACTTGGAGATTTCTTCCAACTACAAAACTGAATTTTGGTGTTAATGTGGCACTCCCTTAAGAGGGTGTTTTTTCTCCAGAGGAGCCCAGCAAACAGACCTTTCTCTAGGGCATATGCTTTTCACCTGCATCTGTAGCCCACAACAAAAAAGTTTCCACAGCTGTGGACTAAAGAAGCTCTTTGCAAAAGGACCAGCCATGTTTTAGACACAGAGATCATAGTTTTCCATAATTTGCCAGTAGATATTTACAGATTCCTAATGGTCAGTGAACTTATGTACACGCAGACCTACCATCTGAATAGAGCTTCATTTATTTCTCTACATGCAGTGAACTAATTGTCCAGGAGTGTTTGACATACTTCTAAATATGCCTAGTATGTTATATAGAAACAGATCATAGTAAGAGCAACTACAAAAAGGTGTAATACATACAGCAACGTGTAGTGTCATCCAAGCAATTTTCTCTTAAACCCCAAATGGACTTTCTTACAAAGCAATGAATGAAAATGATCCACCTGTATGCTTGCCTTCCTAGTGGAAACAATTATCTGTTCTTTTTCTGCCCACCCCCACCAATATCATTGGATTGATTGGCATTTTTTAAATGGAATCACAGGGTCAAACTAACTGAAAGGAGAAAGTAAAAGTTATATATGAATGTGCAAAGTATGCAACATGACCAGCTAGAAGCTGAGTCCTTGGTCCCTGGTGGCTAAGTCTCCCAAAGCCGCCACTCTGACCTCTCCCTATGGTAAATCCTATTCTCCTGTGTGATTACCTGCTTTCAACTTGAAGGGCTCAGGCTATCCCTAAATACTTAGAATAAGAGAGCACCAGGTCTGGTTTGTCCAGTTGAAGTAAGTCCCCCTCTTTTATTCTCCCAAACTTGTATCCTTCTGCAGCTGCTGCTGCAGCTGTAGCTCTACCACCTTTCCTTCCATCCTCACTACCCGTCTCCTAAGGTTGGTTTCATGACTCTAGAAACCTTGCATGTTGGGTATCCCAAGGAATGGTTTGAAGGGCCCAGGATGTGAACAGAATCCCCTCTTTGACTAGGGCCCACAAATCCAAGGCCCTGTTACAGGGGTGCTCTGTATTACAGGTGGCCATGCAAAATGCTACCATCTACTGACATGAACTCAGACTCCTGCTCTGGTGCTAGGGGAAATGGAGACAGAAAGGTTAAGAAAAGTTATTGGCATGGATCAACTTCTAGAACTGAGACAAAACTCTCCTAGTTACTCGTTCTAACCTAAAGGACAAAAACAAAATAAACTTCTATCTCTTTCCCTCCTATTCCTGTGGCAAACCTACTAATATAAAGAGATCAGACTAAAAAAAGTCAACTAGGATAGAGAGCATTATTCAAGAGAAGTGCTTAGATACTACCTTGCATTAAATGTCCACAAAATCAATGTTCAGCAAACTCTCTTCTGTCTGAAAATATCCAGTTCTGCTCTTCACATAGGATGTTCTCAGAGCTTCAGGCCTGGTGAATACAACTGAGCAACAGGGCAGCAAAACTGCCTGCCAGGCTGCCTATCAACTCACCCCAATGAGGGAGTCTGTATTTCCCCAGCTCCACACAGCAGTCAATTATTCCTGAAAGCCAGGCGCTTTTGCAGACTTCATCAGACTCGAGGAGGTGTGTGTTGCCCCTCACCCCAGCAGAAGATCTACCACTCCTACCCATGGGGCTCTGGGCCCTACAGGGCCTTCCCTCTTGAATTCTAGCGCACTCCTTAACCATGTCCCTGAGAAGATGGGTTTTCCTTCATACATTTGCAACAATGAAAGGGAAATGCCCAACACAACTGAATTCCAAGAGCCTAAAACTGAAGAAGTGCTCGGGCAGCATAGCAAGATAGAGATACCCAAAAAGAAAGGAGCCTCAACTAGGGTCTGCAGACCGCAGAGACCTGGGAGAGGGGAAGGGATGGAATCAGGCAGGTGGAAACCTCTAGAGCTCAGGGCAGACTCACTCTCTCTAAAGCACAGCACAAGAGGAGAGGAGGGAGGAAGAGAGAGAGAGCCTTTGCTCCAAATCTTGGAAAGTGAGGCCCAGGCCCGCCTAGAACAGGGGAAAGGGCTCTTTAGACGTGGCCTCCCTCAAACTAGGCCCAGTTTTGTTTGTAGTATTTCTTTAAGCCACAGAGACGGCAGAAGGCGGCCTGAGGAACTTATTGAAGGGCACGAACAGTTTTGCAAAGGAGCTCACTCTGCACGAACCAGATTCTGGCTCCATGCTTATCAGTTTAGAAACCTCCCTGGTTCTTTCATCTACTGCTTCTAAATGAGGCTTCTTTCAACAAATTGCAAGACGCTGGAGACCACAGTTGGCTGCGACACAGGATTCAGGTTCGCTTCAGTTCCCCCGTGGCCAGAAGAACGTCCAGCCCGGGGTCGGTCAAGCCTTGGTCCTTGGCTCCGTCCGTGCAACTCCCCGTCCCAACCTCTCTAAAAGGTCCTAAGCCGGGAAAACCCTACTGCACAGTGGTGTGTGTAGACTCGCATGGATTTTAATTTGGTCCTGTCACGACTTCTTTAGTTACCCGCTAAAACGGAAATGTTTCTCTATAACCTGGGGATGACACTCGGCGAGCCCGTCGCACAGTCTTGTTGTTTGGCTAGCATAAAGCGTTTTTCTCCCGAGCGTCTGGGTTCCACCTGCCTGATCCAGAAGGTAGGTTGGCTATGGTCCCGAGAAAAAGAACCGGCTTGGCGGAGTTTGGGGAGGTAGGATGGCCGGGCAAGGCCCACTAGCCTAAATTTGCCTCCGGGCTTCCCAAGCACAGCCGCAGCAGGAGCTCCCAAAGGTTTTCGCGCGCGCCCGGCCCCCGCCCGCACTCTCTCACCTGGCTTGGCCAGCGGCGCCTGCAGCGCCCCGGGCTGGGGCTCGGCAGCCCAGCGCAGCGCGGCGGCGGCAGCCAACTCGGCGGTGGGGCGCGACGGCTGAGACGGCTGCGAGGTTGGTGGCGGCTGCGGAGCAGCGGCCGCAGCGGTGTCCCCGGATGGCGGGGGTCCCGGCAGGGCTCGCAGCGAGTCCGGGATGAGGCTCTCAAGGCTTTCGTTGGCCTGCTGCCGGCGCAGTGCCACCTGCGCCGCCATGACCCGCTGCCGCTCGATAATGAGGATGCACTTTTCGCAGGTGCAGTCTTTGAAGCGGCAGTAGCGCTTGTGGCCCTTGAGCCAAGACAGCACGCCGTGGTTGCGGCAGCGCGCGCATTTGGGTGTGCGCTGCAGGGGCGCCCTCGGAGGCTGCGACACCGGGCCGCCCATGTACAGATAGGGGGAGCCGTAGCCGTTCATGCCCCGGCCTCCCGGAAGAGCTGGCGGGCTGGCGGCACGAGTGGGCCTGGGAACGCCCGACAGCAGAGCGGGGAGGCCAGCTCAGGGGCGGCCTCTGGCCAGCGCAGCCCTTGATCCCGCAGTGCCAGCGACCGTGTGCGTTCCGGAATGGCCGGAGGTGCTGCGGTCGTCTTTACAACTCCCGCAGCGCTCGCAGCCCCAGCCCGTCGCTTGTATTCCACCAATCCCACGCCGGTCGCGTCTCAGCCAGCTGCTGCTTTGGTCTGCACGTCCTCCCTTGCCGAGGCGTTTCAGAAGCTGCAAGGAGCCGGCGAGCACTCCGGTTAAGGTCTAAGCCAGCTTGCCTGCAGCTCCCGCGCACTCTACCCGCCCGCAGCACCTCCTCTACCGCCCCCACTCCTCCTCCCTTCCACTGCAACCCCCACCCCCCAGAGCCCCGGTCTACTTGCACTCTCCACCCAACTGCATGCCTTCCTCTGTTGTCTCGCCCCTACAGTTCCTGCACATCACCTTCCTTGCCACCTGCAGCCGAGCCGCTCTTGCGGGGGCGCTCACGACCCCCTCCTCCAGGCTGTCTGCACTGCCCTAGTCCCGGAGGGAGGGACTGTGGCGCCCCGGGATGCAGCGTTACACACGGGGCGGGGAAGGGGAGGGCCAGTGTGGTGAAGGTGGGGGTGCGTGTTGAAGAGTGAGGTGGCCGCTCCTCTTCCCTCCCTTCCCTTCACTCCAGGCCTGATTTGGCCGCACCAAGCCTGAGGCCGCATTTATCCCAATACTTAGGTACACAAACTCAGCTCTGGGAGAACCAGAGCCTATTGTGGAATTGGTTTGGAAAATTTTGGTTCTTTTTTTTTTTTTTGCAACTTAAAAAAAATAAATGGTGCTACTATAGAAGAAAATGAATGTTTTTGAAAATCTGCTAGCCTAAAGATGACAACCCATTTTGTAGGTACAGTCCTTCCTTTGATGATGAACTTATTTCCCTAACCTCCTCCCCTGCTTTAACAAACAATCTCAGTCCTGAAAAGAAGGAGGGACGCTCATGTGAAGATGCTGCTTAAGTGCTGGGTCTAAACTTTCAGAATGGCAGCTCAAAAGTTCCTGGATATGATCTCTCCTCTGCCCAACTGCCACTGAACCGTCAAACGGAGACCTCGTGCTACTCAATTCAAATCCACACGGACTCGATTTAGTCGTGGATGTGGATGGCGCCATTTTTCTCCCTCACCCCATTGTCTTTGAGTAGGGGTGGAGGGGGCCCTTGGACATGATAGCAACATAAAACTTTGTTCAAATTGTATTTTTGTGTTTCTAATCTCCTAAGAGTGCTGTTTTGGCCTAATGCGGACTACCGTCTTAAACACAGAGACGACTAAACACCCCCTCCCCAAACAGAACAAAATACAGGTGGATATGGCAGTGCTGGGCAGCACAACGGCTCCGGTGTGAAGCCGAGGAGATGGCAGTCGCGGAGCTGGGAACACAAGACAAGAGCGTAGACCAGTTTGCTGCAATGGTCAATCTTTTGGCCTCGAAGAGGTCCTCGTCCCCTAGGGAAGGCCGTATTTCTCCGCCCTGGAAGCAAACAAGCAACCCGAAAACGTCCCTCTGTGTTTGTTGTGAATTCAAATAAAGCACCTCCCTGAGTCATAGCAGCCAACCCCACAGCGTAGAAGGGCGACTTCAGGAGGGGAGGATTAAAAAGAGACCATGGGTGTGTGTGTGTTTCCCCAGAAGTCTTTAGAGCTGCCCTCACCCCTGGTTGAGGCCAGTCGGGAAGGTGGGACTCGCTGGATGCTGACCTGGTGGGGCGTGGGCAGGAACTCTTGCGTGAGAATGCTAACCCTTGGAGGCCTGAAGTCCCTTGGGGCTCGGACCCCTCAGATTTTCCCTTAACATTCCCACCACCACCTCAATCCTTCCTTTTTTCCCAATTTTTGGTCGGAAAACAAGCCCTAAAGCACCACAACCAGAAGGAACTTAATAGTTCTCTGGACTAGAAATAGAGGTCACCCGCAGTCCTGTGGGCCAGAGGCCGCAAAGCGGGGAGTTGGCAGCGCATGGCTTCACATGACAGATACAGAGGACCTAGAATGACACTGAATCTGGGAGTGATAGTTTGCACTAAAATCTTCAGGTCTCTTGGCTACACGGACACCATGGACATTTTTCCAAAGCCAAATTTCTCCCAACTTTCTCCAAATGGCCAGGGAAACCAGGACCGTAAAAACCTTGGGAGTACAATATTTTTATTTATTTTTAAGGAAAGTAGCAGAGCTCTGTACCAGGTTTTGAAGGCAGGGGGACATTCCCACTAGCAAAGCGGCCCCCTTTCCTCCCTCGGTCACCTAGCCACCCTATCTCTTTGCCACTCAGTCTGGCATTATTTGGTCCCGGGCCTTGAGTTTCACTCCAGTGCACATCGGGACCCGAGATCTAAATACTCATTTGATATACATAATAATCCTTTTCTCATATTTGATGGGAATGTTTTCCATATCCCAGTATTTGACAACATCTCCCTATAGGGACAGGTTTGTATTTATGTTGGTAAAATGTCCCCTGCCTCCAAGTCTATTGTAACCCAACACCTGACAACCCCGAGTCCCATTTCTGTTTGCAGAAAGGGTTTATTCAAGCACATAATGGGATCCCAGCAGAAAGCCTTTTAGAACAAGGGGCTATGGTAAACTTCACCACATGAACTCCGTTTCCAGGGCTATTAAGCTTTTAATTGGAAAATAGCAGAGGAAATTTCAAGGTGACTATAACGTGTTAGCAGTTAGTGCGGAGAAGAAAAGCCTAAGCGGGAATGAATGTAGAAAGCATATGGTCCGAATCACATTTAGGAGGAGCGGCCTGCTTCTCCACTTATGGGAAAAAATAATCAAAGACATTGGAAAGAGAGAGGGGAGGATTACAACTAAATGTAACCTCACTCGACTGGACCCATTTGAGTTCTGCTTTGGGGTGGGGTGTGTTTTCAAACCACAATTAACTCAGTAGAATTGTGACAGATATTAACAGTGAAAAGCTAAAAGATAATGTGTGTATGTGGTTCTTTCCCTTGGCGTGCACACAATCCCACGGGTGTGTGTAAAAGCTTGAGGAATGCAGGTGTCCTTGCTGAGAAACTGAGGATGTTCTGACTCCAAATCTGGGAGTCTTGCCAGCTGCTCCTCACCTCAAGATACAATCAAAAGGACAGTTTCATATTGTCCTGAATAATACATCAGGACATTTTCTGCTTTGCTGGATTCTCATGGAGGGGGAGGTCAGGGTTCCTATTTTGTCGTTTTAATCGCGGCCACAGTGACGCTGGAAGCCGGGGGCGTGCAGAAAGCCCTTTGAATGCCGGGGGGAAAAAAGAGCCCTCTCTTACCAAGTATGAATTTAGCTCTCACACTGTCCGTGCCTCTAAGCATCGCTCTTTGGCCAGCTTCAAATTGAAAGGGGGGAACAAATGTCTAGTAAGGCCTCGGGTGGGGTAATCAGCAATCGATTTCTTGAGGTGACAAAATGCCCTTGTCGCCTTCAATTATTTGGGGAGCGGAGCGACTCTTGAGCACACCCCAAGATATCCCCAGAGCTGCCTTCTGGGGTGTGGGGCAGAGACCGCGTGCGCCCCGGGGAGACTGAACCTGAAGTTGGCGGGTCTGGGGGACACAGCTAAGCAAAAAGTAAGTCCTGGATGGCCATGTCCTCAGACGGTTTTGGCAGTGGGCGGCCGGAGGCTCTCCAGGGGCCTAGGCCTTTGGGAACAAACGAGGGTGCAGAAAGGCCTGCAACCCCGCAGGTGCTACTGCTTGGGCCTTCGTGTTCTCGAATTTTCGAAACTAGCAGCGACTCCAGCTTGGGAACACATGCTCCCAAGGTGCAGATTCCTCAGACCTGGCCCAGACACAAGCCGTTCCCATCCCAACCTTTTGGGGTGGGTGTGTCGCTCCCACATTTGCTTCCTCCAAGGGGCCTATTGAGCAGCGACCTCAACTCCAGGCTTTTGAAGGAAGGGACCGGAAAAGCGCTTCCTCGGGCCGCTCTCCATTGGGCCTGGGGCCAGGCCAGTTTCCCCGGTAAGCCCAGGGCGCAGTTGTTCAGTCCTCTCTGGCCTCCAGACCGAAGAGCGCCCACGGCCTCGGCCTGTCCACCGCCCTTTGGATTCCCTCAGACCTGGGAGCTGGAGGTTCTGTCCCTGAGCGTGGGAACTTGCTCTGGGTTCCTAGGCTGAGTCGGACCCAGCCCGCGCAGCAGGAGGACTGGACGTGAGCTGAGAACGGAGGTCAAAGTTCCGCGACAGGGTTGCAGTGGGCAGTCTAAAGACCCCTGTCTGCCTTCTGTGTAAAGGGTTAAAAAAAAAAAAAAAAAAAAAACACACGTACCCAGCAAGGTAAATTGAGAACAGCACAGGCTTATCTTACCCCTCTGACTTTAAATTTTAAAATACCAAACAACAAAAAAAAAAATAGGCCAAGGAAATCTTTTCAGGTAATTAGAGCAACATTCATGGGACAAGCCAGCTCTCCCCAGGGCTCGCGCTAGTGCAGTTCTTCTAAGAACGAGCCCCTTTTCCAGAACTCTCTTCTGCCTCTCCCTTCCCCCCTCCCTTCCTGTCCCAGCACAAAGCCCCACTTCAGGGGAAGGGGGAGAACGGGCGGGCTTCCAGAAAATAAGTCCCAGCTCGGGTAAAGGGCCTGGGGAATAAAGAGGCAAAAGCACCGGCGCTGCTCGCATCCCAGGCAAAGTGCGTGCAAACAGCAGGTACCCACGCCAGACCCGCGGGAGAATACCACCGAGACTCGAACAGCACCCCAACCCGGGGAATTCGAGGTGAGACTGCACACTTTGTCCGAGACAAAGTTCTGGGCCGTGCGACTTCCGTAACAATTGCAGCTCCGCCCACCCAGCCAGCACCACGCCCCCAGCCCAGCTTGCCCCGCCTACCCGACCGGGTCCCTCGCCAGCTGTTAGGGTCCCCCTTCGAAACTGTTGAAAAGTTTGCAGGTTGTTTTGCTGGGGGACACTTAACGTACAATTGGTTGAGTCAAGCTCGTTTGAGTTTCTGTGAGGGGGTTGGGGGAAGAGTCGTGTTTTAAAGGCGAGTCGTTGGCAGCGCCGATATCAGGCCTTGTACTCGTGTGGGTGCGCGGGGGAGAAAGGAGGGTTAAAGCACCGCTCAAGTTTCCGTAGAAATCTTTCCAGAGCAGCGGTAACGTAGGGCAGACAGCCGCGACCGGGTCTGGCTGGGCGGACAAGACCAGCCAAGGGGAGCCAAGGAAAATCCGTCTCTAACAACAGGCTGCTCTCTGGGGGCGTGAGGGGGGTGGGTTGTGTAGCACGAATAGCATTCTATAAAGCGCTTGTAATACCTCTTGATGCGAAGCGTCAGGTGTACGTGTGAGACCCGTTCACTTAAGTTCATGGGAAGCGGAGAGAGGCTCGAGTTCTATGCGTGGGTGGGAGTCCTGTTTCCACGAGGTGCTATGAAAACGGAGGGGCCTGCTTGGCAGGTCTGGCTCACGCATCTGCCCCGAACTGCGGGGTTTGGTGCGTGGGTTTTCGAGAGCCCCACTGCAAGTATGGCAATGGTTGTGACGGGGAGGAAGCGTGTCACCGAGGGCTTTCCCTGAAGCCCTAGCTCTGCAGCGCACAATTCGCGGCACTAGTGCGTTGAGAGCCAAACGCACTGTGTGGGCCACCGGCCCTGGACCGCATTTGCGGGAAGTTGGGATGGGACGCTTTCGCCCCCAGCCACTGCAGGCGGCTGAGGAGGAAGACACATGCTTTGTTTGCCCATAGCCCCACGTCGCATAGCAGCACCTTGCCTGGGGCTCAGGAAAGGAAGGCCCCGCAAGCCCGCTTCCGTTTGCCAGAGCCTGAGCAACAGACGCGCCTGTAAAGTAAGGGCCGTCCGGGCAGCCCGCCAGAGCAGCACGCACTACTTGCACACACTCGTATACCGCACACACCACGGATACCACCGCGGGAGGATCCCGTCCTACTCATAAAAGCTCTCCTTTCAAGGGGGCAGAGTTGTGAAACAAATGACCGCCCCTCAAATGTGCATAAAAATGTTTAAAATTCAGTAGTCAATACTTAATTGCAATGTTTTGCCTTATGTTCGGAATTAGGTAAATTCATAATGTCGTCCACCTGGGGCAGGTCCTAGGCCTACCTGGCACCCACTCCGTGGCAGTCAAGGATAAACACCCGAGTAGCAAACGGGTGTCACTGGCCTACTCAACGCTTCAGGAACGGGAGGAAGGCACCAGGTCCCTCTTTTATGGAGCTATTGGAAGGAGAGGCCGGATCTTCTGACTACTCGGCCTGGGCCTGTGGTGGTCCTGGGGCCAGGCCCTCCCAATGGTGTGGCCCTTCTGGGACGGGAACCCACGTCAGGCAGGCGGCTGCCCGATTCAAAGTCAAACTTGGCGTCAGGCGCGGCAGGCGGACTCCCTGGGCCAAGGGCCCCAGAGGGGCCTCTGGGAAGGACGGGCGCTGCCCACCCAGCCTGGTTGCCAGAAGCAGGCCCAGATGAACAGAGTTGCACAACCGAAGCCCAGCCCGGGCGGCACACTAAGGACACAGAGGGTGCTTAATCAAGGCTCCGAGAGCGCTGGGACGCTTATCCAGGCTCCGCCTGGCTTTCCAGAAATGCAGGGTCACTGAAGGGGGACTTGTGCTGGAGGGAGCACTCCCCCCATTGAGGGGACTTGCCGAGCTTCTCCCTTCTCCAACAAAAACTGCCAGGCAATATTAATGTGTTGGGGGTTAACTACTAAACTGAGGAAATTGGAGGATTCCTGGATCCGCAGAAACCAGGGCTGGCTATTCAAAGAAATGAGAAAGGTCTGGGCAGTGAGCAGCGAGTGCCCAGGTGATCAAAGGACCTCCATCTCCAAGGACGCCACCGTTAAAATCTTGAAGGTGGCGACTCCACGTCCGGGTCCCTCCCTGCGCGCTCCGCAGCCTCCCGGCGTTGCCGTCACAATAGCTACAGCTACAACCACCCAGAAGGGCACAGGCTGCAGTAGCAGCAGCCTGACAAGTGTGATAAAATGATCTCCCTTAACTAAACTCGTAAAGCACTCGGCAATAAAACTCAATCTTCTGTAAAATCCAATTAAGTCATTATCTGACTGATTGTATCTTTAATTGAAAACAGAAGTGACAGTAAATTTCTGTGATATATCAGGATCAATCGATACCACTATACGATTCAGCCCCAAGAAGTGATTTATAATGTCAAACCTATATAGGTAACTCCACATTATTCTCTCTAAAACCACTGGTGGATGAAATTAAGAGTAAGTGCATTTAATAAAAAACAAGATGGTCAGGTTATTGATTACAACAGATGGGGGTGAAATCAAATAGATGTTTTCAAAGCACAGAGCGAAGAAAATACAAGTAATTTCTTTTTTCCTGTTTAATATAGCTAACCAAATATACACACAAGAAAATTCGGTCATCAATAACATTTTTATTTCAGGTACAGCTGCAACTACAGAACAATGAATTTTTTAAGACTAGTTTCATTTCAGGATGGCTTCTGTTACATAAGGAAGTACGCCACAAGCAATTTTTAACAAAATAATGAACTCAGAAATATCTAGTAACTTTTAAAGATGTACTTATTTTCAAATCAGATTACAACCTAAGGTTACAAAATAATCTAGATTGCATCCATTTTTTTCTTGTAGTAGAAAGAATGTATATGGTAAACTCTTATATTATTCTAGAAACAACAGCCAGGAACTGCCTTACTGGGGTTACTTTAAATTGTACTGTTGTCAACTTACTCTTTACAGGAAAGGTAGCAATTCCTAAGAGCAATATTTTTTTCTTCTGACTGTATTTCAGTCATGCTTTGGAAAGGGAACATGTTTTGAGGATATGGGGTGAAGGCTAGGCTTTTCCAACAGCAACACACACACACAGTTCCACTTACTGACCTTCTGTAGATTTCTAAAACCATCACTAACTTTGCTCTTTTCTTCTCACCAGTCAGACTAAATTTATGTTTTCTAAAGTTTTAATGAAAATACTAAAATTCAAAAATATCTAAAGTACCTACGATTTCATTTTAAAACTAACATATCTAATAATTATGACACATTTAGGTGCAAACATATTTCTTACTTGAGTGAATTACTGTATTTCTTGAAAACTACACATAAATCTGTCATAAAAAATGAAGGACCCTACTATTTAGTGTTTTGATTCCATGAGCAAACCACTTAACTCTTGGGAATGGTAGTCACCAATCCTAAACTATTCTAAATGTATTTTAGCCTCTGGGCTAAGACCTAATGAGTATAAACCAAACTCGTTCTCAACAGTTAAGCCAAGGCAAAATATTAACGACAAACCCTGTGTATAAATGGAATAAGCCTGCTATTCCAAGTGAACCACCACAGGCATGGGGCTTGGCTTACTCATCCTCCTCGATGACGGGAGTAACCGTGAAGCTGCTGGGCTCTGAGGCCGATTCACATTCAAGCACTCCCTTTGTGCTCTCGGTACTAATAGGAGAGCTGCTGGAGAGGGAAACCAAGCCAGAATCTTGACTGCTGGGCGGCGAGAATACTGGGAAATGGGGAGAAACAGAGGGAGAAGAGTGTGTTAAAAGTGTCTAGTATTTCTACATTCAGTCTTCAATTAGGTTGCAACAAAGAAAGAGGCACTCTGAATTTCTATTCCCAGTTGAGTGTTTTTATAGACACATTAAAGTCCTCAGTACTTCTTTAGAATATAAAAGTATTTCTGAACACTATTACCTACTTAACTACAGGGAGAAGTTAGCTAGCCAAGTTCCAGTTTTATGTTCATTAAACACAAAAAACAGTCTTCCCCTCTTTGGGGAAACTATTTCCACCCTTCACAGAGCCCCTCCTTTATATAAAACATGCTAATAGAACCTATCTTGTCAAATAATCAATCTGACAAATTACCCTAAGCAAGACTCCACCCATGTATTTCCACCATTTGACAGGTAACCCTAGTTTTTCAATATATAGCAAATGAAGGTGATAGCTTATCAGCTTTCCCATTATTTCTCTTGGATGTAGGGGAACAAACACTTGGTGGTGGTAGAGGGAGTCAGCAAACATACAAACATGCCATTTTAAAAAGTAAAAAGCAGTAAATGTGAGAGAAGCTTTTTAAGACCACAAAAAGTAAAAGAAATTGAATTAATACCACAACACTAAAATAGAACTCAGGTCAAGATTTTAAAAAGCAAACCTGTGAACATAAGACTTCTATTAAAAATTGACATTAAAAATGAAGGACGCGAAAGTAATAAAGTGCTAAACAATTTTTGCTACCTTACAAACCACAGTAGATACAAAATTAAAGAAAAAGGGTCTCTGACCTTCTTAACCTTAGCTGAGTTCAGATCCACCCCCAGAACTCCCTTCCTGCCTAGTGTGAATGTAATTAAGGGGAAGCTGCAGTGGTAATTTCTCTCCTCATTAACTTCCTGATTGGTTTCAGCCTCAGGATTTTGCCGGGCAGTAGTTTGTCACCAATTCCAAATGGCCAATCGTTAATACTAATGTTTGTGTAACTAACTGCCAGCATCTGCCACGGCTTCTTGTACAACAATAATGGTGAAAGGGTACATTAGTGCTCCTGTGTTAATTCAGCTTGTGTTCATCAATAGGGAAATCTATGATGTAATTAGCAAAATGCATTGGGAGCTGAGTGTTGAAGTCATTTGTAGAGAACTAAATCATAGTAGAAGCTGTACTGGGTCCTGATGTGTTTGCCATCAATACTTATTATGTTTGGAATTTAATAAGGTATATTATCATGCTGAAGAGACCTTTTTACAAGAGAACACCATTTACACTTGTTATGGGTTTGGAAAAGGTTTGCTGTAGCTAGTGAAACCGCACAAAAATAAAAGAACAGGGCTGGGATTTAAGAAGCAGAACTTTAAACCACTCCACTGGACCAAATTATTTCAGAAAGCCCCTTCTAATGTGACATACAGATGAACAGACAGATAGTTTTGTATAGCTACACCTCAATATCCAGTAAGGAAAGGCATGATCTGAAAACATAGTAAATTTGAAAAACAATTTAGGTAATTTCCTGATAAGCAATTATTTTGATATTGACAGTATTTGTTTAGTTAACTTACATAAAATGCAAAAGTAGTAGTTTGTAACTTTTTAAAAGAAAGAGCTACTAAATAGTGGTATTTTATAAATGCCAATAAGGGTACATGTACATATATAAATATATAATAGCAACCAAAAAAACTGGAAATCTATGAATTCTGAAGCCTTCATTTTATTGTAGTTCATAAAAAGTTCTAAAGTTTGAATTGTTAAATGGATTTAAAATTCCCAGCAAGTCTAAGATGAATTATGAATTGTTACATGCACAAGGATGTTGTATATACACAAATATACAAATGTTTTCCAACAGTGATAGATTTTGCTCTTGACATCTTCTTACTATATAGCAAGTTTGGAGAGCCTACCAAAAGCCAGCCAGAGTCTAAGACTTAATCTGCCAAACTCCATCCCCACCTCAAAGCAGGGACTGAAGTTCTGAATAGAAGCGATGGGAAGGGAATGAGCATTTACTACTTCCTGTATGCCACATACTTTAATGAAGTGTTTAATCCTCAAACCTTTCACTGAGAGAATTATTCTCTCCATTTTACATAAGGACCCTGTGGAAGCTGCCAAGGGCAGTGTGGCAGTGGTGAGCCCAACCCTTCAGCTTGCTTTCGCCCCTGCACCATCCCACCCTTGGGTGACGCATTTAGTCATTGACCACTGAACCTTCCTAAACTCTCTGTGATTTTAAGGAAGTGAAACCATGGACTCCTGTCAGGCTAACACAGAGGCTATAAAGGAATAAGTGAGTGTTCTCCAGACATTCTGAACCCCAGGCCTGCCTTTGCCTTCAGGTAGCAGATGATCTAGGAGATGCCCTCACCCGAGTCACATACCTCCCACTCCCCATTTAAAGGATTTGGGACTACAAAAGGGAGATATAGGAGTTCTGCAAAAGAAAGGAATTTGGGGCTGGACCCCTTTTACCCACACTTGCCTTGTCGGTATTGGAAAATATTCCTATCACTTGGGGCTACAAAAACATGCAGAGTGTCACCTGCACAGACTAGGGAGGCTCAGAGCACACTCGGTGTGCTCAGTGCATGACTGTACTACAGAGAAGATGCAAATAAATGAAATCTACCTGTTTTGAAATATACCTGAATATTTTAAAGCATTTCTCCACACAAAATTTAAATCCATGTTATTTTATTTCTGTTCCAGGCTTAGCATTCTTTGAATAATGGGCTGTTGAAATTAGGGATAGTATATGTTTGACTCATTCTGTGTAGCACTTCATAAAAGTAGATCCAAGTGCACTAAAGATTTCAGTGTTTATCTTAGTAAACTAATGTCCAAAATCTATGTTACCATCCTTAAAGGTACCCTCCCCATTTTAATGCAGCTTCATTACACTCTGTGGGGCGGCGGAGGGGGGAGGATCAATAATTGATCAATGTAAATCATTTTATACCAATTAAAAATTCAGAAGTCAAAATTACACTTTTTGCTTTTTAAGTTGAGTCTAATGAGCACTGCACAAGGCTAATTTCAACTCGAAAGGCTTCTCCTAATTATTTTGTGAAAATGCTAATGCCTAGTATCAGTGAAACTGTAAGTAAGGGTCTGCTGTTGGAGCACTAGAAATTGGTTCAATCTTTCTGGACAGCAATCTAGTGGCATGTAATAAGAACCATAAAACTGTTCATACCCTCTGACCTGGTAATTCCACTTTGGGGAATAAGCCCAAAGAAAGAAAGAGTAATGGGCCCAAAGATGCTCAGCACACCACTATTTGCATCAGTAAAGATGTTAGTGCTTTGCTCTGGTGCTGAGCTGGGGGCAGGGATAGGGGTAGCTGCCTTGAGGTTGGGGGGCAGGAAGCATTCACAGGCAATGAACAATTCAGGATTATGCTACCCTGTAATCACCAATAGGCTCCTAGTATTTACAGAAATGGAAGAAATAACTTCTGGAGACCAAAAGTAGAGACTGAAAAGGAAGAAAAAGGAGGGAAAAAAATTTAAAAAGGAAACCCTGCCCATCTGATCTTTTTTATGTTACAATGAAAGGTGGGTAAACCTCTGAGGCTGACCCTTGTTTGAACCAGCAAGCCCAGTATCTGTTTTCTCTCAAGTAGCCTATTTGTCTACAGAAGCTAAAGGGTCTTTATTATTATTTAAAAACAAACAAAAAACCTTACACACAATTACTCTTACCAAGAATGAATGTTGGGAAAAAAAAAACGTAAGATAATTTCAGTGATACCATCTAACCATCAGTATTCTTTTTGGAAAATATTGTATACTGCCAAAAAGCCCCACCTCTCTGAAAAACAAAACAAAAACCACTCTAACTGCTAAATCTTTTGACATTGCAAAGACCCCTGACTTTTAACTTGAATGATTTGTTGGAAGTCAATGGACTGGAACGAATAATTCTCTTCCAGTGATGTGAGAAAACAGGATATTCATGCTTGAGAAAAAAAATTTTCTTCCTCTATATGTTAAATACTATTAAACTCTCACTAAAAACCATTTAAAAATAAAAATGCAAGTGGCCTTCTTCAAGTGTTAGCAACTCTTCACCTAGATGCTGACAGGAACAGAAAAAAGTGCTGGCCTCTTAGGTTTCCTGGAGTTTACAGGCCTAAGAGTCTGATGAAAAGCTGATGAATATTTCTTAAACAACAGATTCTTCTGCTTCATGATAACCATAGTGTTTGGAAATAAAATCATGTCCAATCAATACCACTTAGCAGATATTTAATGTTTCACAACAGAACTCTTTTCCAGAGTGGAACTGCGGCCCTTCTCACTAACATTCAAAATAATTAGGATTATCTTAGCTGTCCAAAGCTTGGCAGGTTCAGTTTGCACTTTCAAACAGCATTAATTCTTGGCACTCAGAACAAGGGATAAAAGCTAAAGATATGAATGGAGATCTTTATTCAACCTGATCTATCATGGATTAGCTCATTCTTTTCCAGTTCATGCCTGCACTCTAGTTAAGAGGAAGGCTAAGCTGTAACTGATGTAATTAGAAACCACAAGCTGAGAAAAAAAAATAACCCCCCTTTTTCTAATCTTTCCCCCATTTACTACATATTTACTACAAAAAAATCTTTGAAACAATTAAATGTGTTTTTTCCACCTAAGTGTAATTAAAGAGTAGTGACAAGAGAGGGGCTATTCAGGATTATGCTATCCTTGGAAATATATCTTAATTGTCAGTTCTACAATCTAATACAAATTTGAGAGGGGCCGGCTCTGCACTTTGCATGTTGTATAGAGAAGGGGCCAAGCCCTGGCAAAGAAGAATTCCTTCAAACGGAATAAGGTAAGTTATCAGTGCTTCTTCCTTGACAGAACTACCATAACCCTGGTAAGCACTGGGAATTACCCATTTTAAAAAGTGAAGTGAACCTGTAACAGAAAGTAAATATTTACTATCAACAGTACTTCTTTCCCCCCAAATTTTTTGTGTAACATGTATACACAATTCACAAAAATA